TTTTTGGTCCTTTCCCGACGTTCACATCTATATCCTAATTTCCCCAAAAATTAGGCTTCATAGAAACTGGTGGAACTCTATTTTATGAGATACAAATACTGGCCTTGCCAAATTTTGGCACTTTTGAAGTTTTCTGATCATTGCTCTGTCTGGAAAGAGATTTTTTTCTTTTTTGTTGGTCCTTGACTTTTACCCTGTATTCAAAGGCCTTGCGTTTGCCTAGGCTTTCACTGATCATTGGATGACCACTCAATGGAGCTTTAAACAACAAAAAAAAAGCCCTGTAAGTGAGAGAAGTAAAAGGCTACAATGTGAAGTGTTGTTCAATCAAAAACCAACAAAATTCTGGGCAAGTATATGCACAAGATTTGAAGATGAGCCATTAAAGGGATTTGGAAGAGGAAAAAACTCAAAATACAGAGTGTTGTTCATTTAACTTCAGAACATTTTAGTCCCTGCTATTTTGGTTGGGTACAAAAGTCCGACATGACCATTTGCCCGTAATATGTTCAATTTAAATGCCACAGTGATTATTCAAATTTTCTGGATTTCAATCATGGAGAATACAAAAAGACCAATAATCCTAAGTAATGTTTAGGAAACTTACAGTGGAAACAACAGGATTACCTTGTAGCTAGTACATGTTAAACAAGCCATCTAGAAATGGCAGAATGAAACTAATCAACTTGTTTGGTTTTGATGTTTAGGAGAATTCTATTATACACATTCTATACTATATGTACTATTAGCTACGTCATTTTTTTTCTTTAGTTATGACATTATTTTTAGATATTTGATTATGATTTTTTTTTTATATATTTAGTTATGACTTTTTTTTTAGTTATGACTCAAAAATTATAGAGTTGTGCCATTTTTTTTCTATAGTTATAAAGTACATATGATACACACCTTTTGAGAGAGTGTGTACCACAGTCTTTCCCATAGGTAGTTTTTGTTACTCACATTTATAAATTAAAAGTTATTTTTTATTGTAATAAATTTGTCCCTACATACATAGATACAGACTATCCATATCCATGATAAGGAAAACTCTATTGACCCAGATGTATCTCCCAGAATTTTTTGAGCGAATGATTGTTTTGTGGGGATTAAATTTATGTAGTGTAGGGTTCATAGGAAACTCTATTAACCCAAACTTATTCACTCAAAATTTTTTAGACAAATGATTGTGTAGTAGAGATTAATTTTTGGATTAATAAAGGTGGATTTGTAATATTACTCGATATGCATATATAGAATAAATCTGAATAATAAATGACGATTTTGAATGATAAGGGTGGGTGGTAGTATTATTCCCATGACAAAAGCATACACCAAGATACACATAACTAATTACCTGAATCTAATCCAGAAACAACCCTAATTTCCAATTCAATCAATGATTATTGTTGCTACTTCTTCCTTATGCAGCTCCTCAACTATCTATCTATCACCTTATCATTCCCCTATGTTTTCCCTTCTAATTTCTCCATGCTTTCATTTTTTCAAACAGGTAATGTGCATAATTTCAAAGGAGGGTTAGTGAGTGAGTGAGAGTGTTGGGAAGATTGATAAAGAGAGCATCACTCTGAGAGGAGGGTGAATTCAATTCTGTTTTCCCTTTTATGAATTAGGTTTGTCATTGGTTTGTTAATCAAAGTGGGTTTGTCTATGAATTGATGAAGTTGATGATGGATCTATTATGTCTGTATATGTGTGTATGTATGTGTATATATATATAGAGAGAGAGAGAGATTTTGGAAGGGAGAAGAGAATAGGTGGTGCTCTGTTTCTGTTGTGTGAAGAGGGGTGAAGGAACAGAGCAGAGAGAGAGTGGAGAAGAATAGGCGTGTAGTGGAGCGTTTGGTTGTAGGAATAAGGTGAAATATTTAAGAATAAGAGTAATTTAGGGGTCAAAATTTGCTGACATAACCAATTTCAGTTACTATATGTAATAGTTAGATGACGGAATATTTAGGAATAAGTGTAATTTGGAGGTCAAAATTTGCTGACATAACCAATTTCAGTTGCTATATTAAACGGATTTTAGTTACTATACCTAACGGTTAGATGACGAGAAAAGTCTGTGTAGAGGATTGCTGAATCCTATAAAACAGTAAGGGCTTTTTATTTTTTCTTCTTTATAAAATTAAGTTTTGAACGTTTTCAGAAAACACATAAAAACTCAACTAAATAAATGTGATATTTCAAAAAACTAAAAAAACAAAAACACAATCAAACAAGTTCAAAATTCTCATTTATGCACCCTCCATAAATCTTCAAACGCAATTAAAGTCAATTATCATGCACACACTATTTAAGTGTTTGGAAAGTTACTATTTTAGTAGGTTATTTTAGTTTTTAACTATTTTATTAGGCTAAAATTTTTGTGTTTAAAAAGATAGTTGATTTTTTTATAGTTTGATGTGATGTTTGTGAGAGAAAAAGTAAGATGATTATGGATTTGATGTGACATTTTGTCTTATTAACTATTTTAATCTATTTTGTCATTTTGTGAATTTTAACTCAAAAAGCCAAAAAAAACCTTAGCCAAACACCCCCTATGAAACATGAATCCCTTTATGGTGGAATGGGACACATACAAAGAACAAGAGCTGGATTCAACACTGAATGCATTCAAAATTGACAGCATGGCTTGCCTAGTAAGACATGCAAAGCCTCACATAAAGATCTTGCAAACCCAACAAATTCATGAGTTTGGGTGCATGGTTAGTTACACCTCAATCACATAAACATGAAATGGCTCAAGCATATATGTGATACAAATACTCATCAATATGTAAACTAAAATCTCCAACAACAACTAAATTCAAATTTGATATAATGTAGGCCACACCCAAAATAAATTTGATCTACATATTTTATTTTCATAGTATTTTTAAGAATACAATGGCAAAAGTTCAAAGGGAGAAAGATTAGAGCAAACTTTTCATATGAATCCCTTTAAACTTTTCAGAATTTTTGTACAAAATTTTCAATACATAATGGTGTGGTTTCTTGTGATCCGCTCATTTCCAATGAAAACAACTACCATTGTCCTCAAAATTTCACAAATAACACTGCCACATCATTTTTGTCATGAATTTTGTATAAAGTTATATAAGAATATCATTTTTGAACTTGTAATTATAATAAGCCTACTTGCAAATATAAAGTCAGCAGCAGCCATGAGATTCAAACCCAACAACAAAAGCTCAAAATAAAAACTGAAGACAAATAATATGTTCAAAACACATGTTCTCTAAGCCCCATACCATAAGTTCCTTTCTTTTTTGAAAAAACAAACACACCATAAGTTTATGACTTTCTTTAAAAAAGAAACAAAGAAAGTATATTGCTGTGTCTATAACCACTGTCCATACCCAATCAAGGCTTACCTTTGTATGGCTAAATTACCTATGTTTTTTACCTGCACTTGCGGAAGAAGAGAATGAAAACAACACCAACAGGAGAAATCACTGGCATATGTGCATAGCCGAATCATAATGGTTTAAGTCGTCCTGACACTCATTTGAAACGAGTTTTGTACCAAACCCTTGTTATTTTGAAATAGATTTCCCAAATGCAAATTGTTTTGAATTTATTTCTAAGACCCAGATTGTTCTTTAAATTCCTGTTTTCAAAACAAAACTTCACACGACTTAAAAACAACATAGGTTTGGAAAATATATCCAAAAACAGCTTGTATTTGGGAAATTTGTTTTAAAATGGCATGAGTTTAGTAAATAACTCCATCCGAAAATCATGGCAAGCCACTTATCCAAACGAACTCTTCAAATCAGCTACAATCTCACTGCACTTCTTCAAAAGGTATAACATCTGCTGAGAAATGTCAATGCTGTTGGTCGGGGCACTGGCATTCTGATAGCTCTTGCTGCTTGTTGCCTCGCCTTGGGGATATTCCATGTTGATGGCATCGACAATGTGACCAACACTGCGATTCTCAGGCTGAAGCGGCAAAGTTGGGGGCATTACCTGATGCAAGTTCGCAACATTGTCCTTGATGGTTGTGCGCGAAGATGATATAGGATTCAGATAAGTGCCAATAATGGAGCCACTGATTTTGTTAATGCTAGGCAGCATTTTCTCTTCCCCAGAGCTTGCATTCCCCTCCAACTTGAATCTGACATGTCGTGTCGCACTCTTAACACTGTTGATAGACATCATTTCATCACCTGGCGACTTCTTCAAAATCGACTTTAGGGGGACACTTGGGTGCAGAGGCAACTGCTGAATTACTGCAGTCTTTGGTTCAAGAGATCCTTCCAAAAGGTGCTTGCTTGACTCACCTGATTCAGGCAACTCAGGGGCTGAAACATTTAAAACTTGCAAGCGGTAATTTGCCTTGATGTTGCCAAGGAAAGTTTTGTTGAGGACTGCGTGATTATACGCTGCCTCAGCACTAGACTTGTTCTTAAAAACAGCCCTGGCAGTTCATGAATTCTGAAACACGCGAGTGGCTGACTCGTAAAGATTTCCAAAGCGTACGAATTTTGCTTTTAGTTCTGGCACTGATGGCAGTTTTGAATGAAGCGGGAACTTCATCTTCAACATTGCTGGTTCAGAAGGCCCCTCTAGTATTTCTGGCTTTGTCGACACTAATGAACCCACCATTTTTTCATCTCTTTGAATTTTCAAATGCTTGTGGCTGCCTTCCTTCTTTTCTGCAGCCAATGCACTCAGCTTCTTGTAATTTTTTGGTCTTTTCATGGACTTTTTTTCCAGTTTACGAGAGGATTGACTTTTGCTGCTAGCCTTTGCAGGATCATCCAGTCTGAACGGCTTTTTCAATGGTTTTAGAGCAGAAGGTTGGTCCTTCACTTTCTCAATGCGGGGGGTCTCAACAAATAAACCAGTTGGTCCTTCACGTTGCGCAAGTATTGGATGCTTACCTGTAGTAATAACTTCTTTTCCTTTTCCGACATTCCCATCTGTATCCTGATTTCCCCAAAACTTAGGCTTCATAGAAACTGGTGGAACTCTATTTTCTGGATACAAATACCGGCCTTGCCAAATTTTGGCACTTTTGAAGTTTTCTGATCATTGCTCAGTCTGGAAAGAGATTTTTTTCTCTTTTGTTGGTCCTTGACTTTTACCCTATCTTCAAAGGCCTTGCGTTTGCCTAGGCTTTCACTGATCATTGGTTGACCACTCAATGGAGCTGTAAACAACAAAAAAAAAAAAGCACTGCAAGTGAGAGAAGTAAAAGGCTACAATGTGAAGTGTTGCTCAATCAAAAACCAACAAAATTCTGGGCAAGTATATGCACAAGATTTGAAGATGAGCCATTAAAGGGATTTGGTAGAGGAAAAAACTCAAAATACAGAGTGTTATTAATTTAACTTTAGAACATTTTAGTCCCTGCTATTTTGGTTGGGTACAAAAGTCCGATATGGCCATTTGCCCGTACTATGTTCAATTTAAATGCCACAGTGATTATTCAAATTTCTGGATTTCGATCATGGAGAATACAAAAAGACCAATAATCCTAAATAATGTTCAGGAAACTTACTGTGGAAACAACAGGATTACCTTGTAGCTAGTACATGTTAAACAAGCCACCTAGAATGCCACACGTTCGCATTCTCATCAAAAATGGCAGAATGAAAACTAATCAACTTGTTTGGTTTGCATGTTTAGGATCCAATTTTTAGAAAATTGAAATTTTTTATTTTCCGTGTTTTTTTTTGTTTTTACTAAATTTTTCTAATATTCTATGAAGTTTTTAAAATTTTTAGATACACCTAACATAAATACACTTAAAAAATTCACTAAATACAAAAAATAATAATAGAAATAAAAAAATAATATGAGAATTCAGTACATTTTTTGTATTCTTGTATATTTATTGATTTTTTAAAATATTTTACTTTTTACACACATTTAAGTAAGGTACGTCTAAAAAAGTTAAAAAATTTCTTAAAATTTTTAAAATATTCACTAAAAACAAAAAAATGCGAAAAATAAAAACCTCAATTTTCAAAAAATTGAATCCAAAAAATTGAAATCAAACACACTGAATATTATCCTAAAAAATTGATGGCTTTGTTTCTCTATTAGAAAAATGAAAAGCAAAAGCAGAGTGAAGGCAGAAAGTCATTCCTTAAACCCTTTCCCATAATATCTTATTCTTTCCCCCAGGGCCAAACACAGTAACATGACAAACATACAATAAACTCAAATACTCAAACTCAAATCAATAAACTGGTGACAATGAATGCCACAATATACCACATATAAGCCACATGAGGCACCATCTATGCAAACTATTACACGCTGCTTATCATGAATCTGTTTGCATTAGAAGTTCAGAGATTGGGATGTCCCAGACACATCCTATGCAATAAGATGCTACAAACATAAGCAAAATTCCATGAATTAGCCCATGCTTCCATGTTTGAAAATGACACTATCCTTCTTCCTTAAAACTATGCTATCTAACAAGTACAAAGTAAATATTCTCGCTGTAATTTGAAGCATAAGTCTAGAGATTGCAGCTTGAAAAACAGCCACTAAATGTAGTTCAGATAACTGTCACTGTTTAGGGTATTTTAAGGTATGACAGAGAATGAACACTGCATATAGAATAGATGTATTAACTCTTGCTAACCCCAGTTTGGGCAGGCCAAGAGTAAAATTATCAATCATTCGATCACAATAATAATGATACTGAATTCTTACAAGTAAAAAAGCTACACCGTTTCAACAACATAGAGCGATAATGTGGATGAAAATGTTCAATCCCTTAACATCACAAACCTAGCATGAAATTTCAGGTTCAGACCACCAGGTTGAAAGCCACTCACATCCACTTCAAAGAACCCTTCAACACTTTTAGGGCGAAATATGTTAGGCTTCCGGCAACGACAACTCAAGCCAAGTGCAGCTCTCCGCTTCACCTCATCCACAGCCTCCTCAACAGCAGTTAAAAATTCTGGAGTGTTAGTCTGCTTTGATTTCTCTGTATAGTGAAAATCAAAAGGAATGAGTCTACCTGGTTCCAACCAACCATAGGTGCCATCACCATAAAATGCAACCAAAACTTGACCCTCTTTCTCCACACGACAGATTGATGGAGAAGCTAAAGCTTCATCAAATATTTGCCCTGGCAACCACGGATGAGATTTGACCTTCCCCCATTACCATATCGCCAACCTCATATCCTGAATCTTTTAATGCATCAAACATTTCGACTGCAGTGCCCTCATTCAATGTAGATTCCAAACTGCCATGTGCGTCTCTTGCTTTTCCATTTCCCTTGGTCACCCTTGAAGAAATCACATCTTCCTTTTCCATCACGGCCATCAAATGGGCCATCTTAGTGCTTCTAGGAGCAAATCTATTGGTGCCCCCAATTGCCAGTTCCTTAGATTTGCTTCTATAATCTACACCTTCCTTCTTACCATCACGGACCCTAGATTTCTTACACTGCTCATTCATTGATTTGACATTTTTGGCAGCTGAATTACCATTGGAAGCCTTAAGCTTAAGCCTGCTGTACATGTCCATTGAACTGTGTTCTGAAGAATTCCTTGTTTCCTCAGACCCCATTTTCTCTACTAAATGCCTTAGATCTTTAGTGTATTGAATATCACGATTTCTCACGCCTGAAGAATTCCTAGTTTCTTCCTTTGTTCTGGCAGGTCAAATTTCTTGACTTCTCTCGCTTGCTCTCAAATCCCTAGAGCTTTAACGTATTGAATACGAATTGAATCATGAATACAGAAGATTCAGCAAAACCCTAGAGCCTTAAAAGCAATTTTTCCTGTTTTCCGAGCAAACAATTAAATCAAAACAGCTGCTACCAAAATCAAAATCAAATAATACCTTACCATTTTGAAAAGTACTTTCTTGCTTTCAAATCAAACATTGAATTGGTTTTACTTTAAAAGCCATAGAATTAATCCCAGTGTATATCTATAAGTTTGGAGATAAAATGTATCAATGGCATAAACATGTATCAAAACCAGAAAACACATACATTTTAAGCAGATCGTCTAAACAGGGCCTAAGTCTGCTGCACATGTCCATTGAACTGTGTTCTGAAGAATTCCTTGTTTCCCCATAACCCATTTTCTCTACAAAATTCCTTAGATCTTTAGTGTATTGAATATCTCGATTTCTCTCGCCTGAAGAATTCCTAGTTTCTTCCTTTGTTCTAGCAGACCAACTTTCTTGCTTCACTCGTTTGCTCTCAAATCCCTAGAGCTTTAATGTATTGAATGCGAATTGAATCATGAACACGGAAGGTTCAGCAAAACCCTAGAGCCTTAAAAACAATTTTTCCTGTTTTCCGAGCAAACAATTAAATCAAAACTGCTGCTACCAAAATCAAAATTAAATAATACCTTACCATTTTGAAAATTACTTTCTTGCTTTCAAATCGAACATTTAATTGATTTTTATCCTAGTGTATACACAAAATATTAATCAAGTTTTATAAGTTTGGATATGAAATGTACCAAGGGCGTAAACATGTATCAAAACCAGAAAACACATACCTTTTAAGCAGATCGTCAAAGGAAATCATACACATTGACTGCTATACTATACATAACATCTCATTTAAAGCCTACGATATCTATCCATATCTAAGCATATAGCGAGGGAGAGCAAGAGGGAAAGGAGAAAAATTGGGAGTATTATCTTTCAATGTTAATGTGGACAGGGGTCCGATTGTGGTTACTAGCAATACCAGCTCAACTGTAATCAGCACTCCGTAATCAGTACTCAGAGGAAGACACGTGTCAACATGGAAATTTTGTGAGCTATAATTTGGTAAATGCACTTGTGCCACAATATTGCATAATTTTATAGCTTAAAATTTAATAAATCTAATATTTTATAGGATGCTATGATGTATTTGCAGCACAATATAATTGCACAAGTCAATATATACATATATACCATATATAAGCAAAAATTTACTTTTTGAGCAATGTTAATATTTTGGAATGTTAAGGTAAGATCACTAAAATTGAGTCAACGGATTTTTTTAAAACATAACACAAGCTATATCCTTAATTATACATCGTTAATTTTCTATTTAATGCATCATATATTGTGCTGTCTTACGTGTGCTTTTTTAAAGCAGTGTGGAGATGTTTGTCGTGGAAAAACGGAAGGTGTTTGACTGACACATTGTACCTGCATACAACTCCGCAATTATAAATGAATTAAAAAATATATTTATTGTGGCACAGAGCACAAAAGTTCACCAAAAAAAAAAAAAAACTGTTAACACATGTTACACATGAGACAGAATGTTTCTTTGTAAAATGAAGCAAGTATCAATTTGGCTATATGCGCAGAACTCATTGATTATTCATAGCCGAAATTCTTGTCTAATAAATTACTCTCTTTTCCATGTCGCAGAAGTTTTACATTTTCCATCTTTCAATGCATCAAGTACTCAATTTTAGTGCTTTCATCTGACATAGAATCTAAAAAAATCAGGAAAATTTGTTTTTGGACTTTCCCTCTCTCACTCCTCTATCTCCTTATCTCCCTTAAATTCACAGCCTCCAGTTCTCTCACTTGCATCAAATATACAATCCTAGTGATTTAGTGTGCTATTCCCTATTGCCAACCTCTGGTTTTTTTCAATAATTCCCTGTTTTCCACACTATTTTCTGAAACCTCATTGAATTAATTTCATCACAAACCCTAAATTTCTTAGACCAACCAAAGATTTAACATTTTTTAACAACTGAATTACATGTCTACCAGCATAAGCCTACCAACCGAAGCCTCGACTTCAACTCTACTTCTATATGTCTGTTTAATTTAATAGAGTTCCAAATAATTCGCAGTTGCCTCAAACCCAATCTCATTCACAATTCCTCAAACCCCCAAATTCACCACATATGAAGCCCTTCTAGCCATAATATAATATGCTTGATAGGCGTGTGTATCTTCTAAAACCCAAACATAGATGTCACATAGGCGACAAAGGTTGAGTTCAATGTATTGCATACTTGTTATCTCATAAATCTATGATAAGATAAATATGTAAGCAAAAGCTAGAAGCTTTATTTAGTTATCATCTTTCAGAGTAGTTTTCTGCATTTAATGCCAATTGCAAAAACAAGACAACTACTACCAAAATGACAACAAAACAAGGTGAAGCATTTTTCTACGTGTAATCTTCCTTCGGAGTCAAATATTGAATTAATTTATATTCCTGAAAAGCCATAGAAGTAATTTCATTATTTAAATAAAATATTAACTAGGTTCTAAGCATTCAGTGACTGAGATACAAGTGATACTTTTTGAGAGGTAACTATGCATTATAATTGTGAATGTGTTAGGTGCATTCATACTATGTTAGTTGCAATACTAATGGTAGAAAATACCAATATAGTGAAATGTGCAACATCACTAACTTTTGCTTAGTCAAATTTCTTAATAATTCACCCTCTCATCATGTATCACAAAATTTTTTTGGAAATCATCTCTAGCCCTTTAGATTTGCTTCACTAAATACACAGCACCAGCTTCAAGCCCACGCACATTCTCTTCAAAGAACCCTTGAACACTTGTAAGGAAAAATTTATTAAAGTTCCAGCAACAAGTCAAGCCAAATGTAGCTCTCCATTTCCCCTTAACCTCAACCTCCCCAACAACAGTTAAAAATGTCTGAGTGTCAGTTTGCTTTTGATTTCTTTGTATAGTGAAGGTCAAAAGAATTGAGTCTAATTCGTTCAAACCATTCATAGGTGCCATCACCATAAAATGTAACCAACACGTGACCCTCTTCCTCTGTGTTACCGACTGATGGAATCATATCCACCTCATATCCATATCCCAAATCTATAAAATTTTCTTTTATCAATGCATCAAGCATTTCGAGTGCGGAAGTATTTTTGTGAAATCTAAGTTTTCTCCAAGAACTTACTCGTATTTGTGTTCATTTACTCATTTTTGTATTGTTTTAAATTTTTGAAAACAAACTTGTGCATTTTTGTGAAAATACTTACACGTATATAATATAATCTATTATTTTAATAGTGTTTACCTGTAAGTTGACCTGCTTAGCAAGTCAACAATGTATAACTTCTAACACAAATTTATATAACCTAAACAAAGAAAATGTATAAAGAACCATGTAATGCCTTGCATGTGATATGCAAAGCATACTTAAGAATCCTTCTAATTGGTAATAATAATAATAATAGTAATAATAATAATAATAATAATAATAATAATAATAATAATAATAATAATAATAATAATAATAAAATTACCATCCATCAATAAGGGTATTCAAAAGAATAATTGTGAGAACCCAAACTTATAGTCCTTGAATTTATTGAATGTTGATGTGTGATTGAGATTGAATTTGTGCATTGTAAGATCCATGGGTAGAATAAATTTGAACCACTAGATAATTCTAGATAATTTCTGAATAGTTAAATATGAATTTATAGTATTATTGTATTCAAAATGATGCATCTAACAATAATAAAAGTGAGAGACTTGCATATAATGGCTTAGAATATTAAGCCTAACCATCCATCCATGTTCTCAAGAGTATTCATAATTATGTATCTAACAATAATAAAAGTGAAAGACTTGCATATAATGTCTTAAGAATGTTAAGCCTGCCACACAAGGAAAGGTGATATTAACTCTCCTCGCGAATTGGACTCAACCTCAAACCACCACACTTGAGAGCCTCGTGCAATTTTTCCATGACCACAAGGCCACTACATGTCACTAGTGCCCCATTAAAACAATTTTCTGGTAACAATTCTTTGAAAACAGCTGAGTACTCCAAGTTTTTTGCATCACACTCAGTGCAACTACTTTTCAAACCTAGAGAAAGGGAAGAATAAAAGAAACAAAAATGAGAAAACTAAGTTAATTGTATAAAACTCTACATGTAGATTGTATATTTAATATATAATAACTTGGTGTAATATAAACACACAAGGGTCAAAAAACAGAGGTGGTATTTTTGTGTAACGGGTATACCACTGTGGTGTATTCTTCTATCTCACAAGCGTGTGAAACCCATCTTCATATGTTTGTGCGGGAGAGGTATACACTATTGTGATGTACCCATTATGTAAGATACTTTCACCAAAGAACAAATGAAGGCGTTGCTTCTCACAGTCCACAAGCTCAGGATCAAATGCATTATCGTCAAAGAACAGAGAACTGCCGTACTCCAGTTCCACCTTCAAGAACAAAAAAAAAAAAATAAAAATTTGTAACATTACTACTAATTGCTAAATGTCACTAAGCAAATATGCTTTACAGGTCTTTCAGGTAAACAAACATATATATAACACGTAACTAACCAAAACTTAAATGCCAAGGCGCATAAAAGATCAAATAAGATTGTAAATACGATAAGCCTAACTACAAAGGGTAACCAATTATAAATAAAGACAAACCCTGAAATTTGGTATTATAGATGGCAATTAAACAATAGTGGTTGAATTATGGCCCTTACCCTCTTAATAGGATCGTCCTTCTGCTTTCTAAAGAAAATTGCCAGAACCAAGTGCTCAAGTCCAACCTCCTTATCACCTGCAAAATTTGCTCAAGTTTAAAATAACACATGAATATGTGCATAAACCTACTTCTTCCTGCCACCAGACTTGATCAAGTTTCTCCAACCCAATTCAAACATAATTATGACTCAACTGCGTTTGCAGCTGATCATGTTAATTTATTTCATTTTATGCCTTGAAAATTTATAGAACATACAATTATACAGCCATTTAGAATAAAGGAGAGGATATTCTACAAGATTCATAACATTCACATATTTTAAAAGATACATAATATTCAATGGAATATTGAGGTCATTACAAAGATAAGAGATTTTACCTACTCTGTCGGCTGCTGTGCGTGATAACTTGTAAATGCTAAACATAGACAGTTTTGAATGTAATCCACCTGAACATCTTGACCTGTCGTTGAGCATCCTCACATTGTCACCAACTCTTGAAAAAGAGAGGCCAAACAAAATGTGTTGTATGCTGATGAAACATTGACATTGCATTCTTCTCTCATTTTCAGCAATGTTAATCACTCCACGAAGCTCGTCTGTACAAGGTCCGAAGCTACCACGTGATATAGGAAATATGATAGCTTCCTGAAAATAGATCAACTGTAAAAAGGAAAACAAAAGCATTGGTATGTTGTCAGCATTTGAAAGAGTTGTCAGCATTTGAAAGAGTTATCAGGGCCTTGATTGAACCCTATGAAGCATGGCACATCGAAAAACAAGTCATACTAGTATGTTTTAGGCACTAGTACTTTTATGTTTTTTTTTAACAATAACAAAACAATTTTATTAAAATAAAAAGTGAAAACAAGGGTAGGACAAGAAATCCTCATACAAAGACAATAACTCAGCACTAAAAGCCAAAGAAGCACCAACTAAAACATAAAACAAACCACCACTAGGTATAACAAACAGTAGCGCAATCCCTAGTAATCAAAAAAAGAGATGTCCTTGAAAGGAGGAGACACACTGGCCCAAACTAATGCAAGATGCCTCACCCTATCCCACAAAGCATCAACCTTTGATTCCTTTTCATTAAAAATTCTATCATTTCTTTCCAACCAAATGGTCCAAAAGATAGCAAAGATAATGCACGACAATGTTTTGGCCTTCTATCACTAGTACTTCTATGTGTACCAAGTACACAAAACACATACTCAAATTTTTTTCTTAATTTTTGTCATACTCAAAGGTACCTAGCACATACCCAAGTCACACCTCAACTCGAATAGGGTCGCAAATGAACAGAGACGAACCGAGCTTTGCTAGGCTTGAGTTCGGCTTGTTTGTTTATCGAGCTCGATTATCCAGCTCAAACTCAACTCGGCTTGTTAATATTAGTTGAGTTCGAGCTCAAACTCAACTCGGCTTGTTAATATTAGTTGAGTTCGAGCTCAGCTCGAAGCCCAATAATTAACTTTTTTATTATTAAAAATTACATTATTTAAATATATAAATAATATTTAATAAAAAATTTAAATACAAATATTATTTATATTATTTTAAATATAAATAATGTATTAATGCTATTATTTATACATATTTTATACAATTTAATATATAAATAATATATTTCTTTTATAATTTAAATTTAAATTTAAATATAAATAAACGAGCCAAGCTTATTCAATCTCGAGCTCGAAACAAGCCTAAAAGTCAAGCTCAAGCTCATTTATTAACGTAACAAATGGAGCTAAGCCAAGCCCTTAATGAGTCGAGTCGAGTCGAGCTGAGCCGAGCTCGTGAACAACCCGGTTCGTTTACAACCCTAACTAGCATAGTATTTACTTTTGGGTTGATTACATTTTTAGTCCTTAAAGCATGAGCCTTGTGTCATTTTGATCCACAATGTTTAATTAGTACCAATATGGTCTCCAATGTATAAAATGTAAGGCAAATTACACTATGAGTCCCTATATTTTACCCCTTGTATCATTTTGGTCCCTACACTTTAATCAATTTTGACCGTTAATTTTAGATTATGTGTCAATTTAGTCCTATTGATAATGCCGTTAGTGTTTTTGACAAAAAATTGATCACTGAATTGGTTGAGGTTAACTTATTGAGTTAAGCAAACTTATAATTTTGACCCCAAAATCATGATACATTCCACTTATGTGTGTATTTTCCATTAAAAAATGGTAACAGTTGTATTCAATTGACTAAATTGAGACTGTTATAAATTTAAGGTCAAAATCTAGTCAATTGGAATTATAAGGACCAAAATGATACAAAGACCAAAATGCAAGGACTATTGGTGTAATTTGACCTAAAAAGTATTTCAATTTAGTTTCCAAATATTTAAATTACATCTATTAATAGAGTTAGATTGGGAGACTAAATTGTGACACTTTTTATACATTATAAACCAGATTGATTCAACTTAAACATTGGGACCAAATTGAAACACTTCTATACATAAGGGACTAAATTGACACAATTTAAACATTCGGAACCAAAATGACTCCTGCTTTGGGGACTAGAATTGTAATTAACCCTTTACTTTTAAGTGAAGTTAGTTTTATTGGATTTTTTTTCTTAATTTTTGCCTCAATCAGAGATACCAAGTATATATCCAAGTCATACCTCAACTGGAATAGTATTTACTTACGGGTTGATTACATTTTTAGTCCCTAAAGGATAAGCCTTGTGTCATTTTGATCCGCAATGCTTAAATAATGTCAATCTGGTCCCCAATGTATAAAAATGTTTCAATTTCCATCTTCAATGTTTAATTTGAGTCAAACTAGTCCCCAATGTATAAAGAATGTTTCAATTTAGTCCCCAAATGTTTAAATTGCATCCATTAACAGAGTTAGATTGGGAGAATAAATTGAAACACTTTTTATACATTATAGACCAGATTGATACAACTTGAACATTGGGAGCAAATTGAAACAGTTTTATACATTGGAAACTAAACTAACAAAATTTAAACAATTGGGACCAAAATGACACAAGACTCCTACTTTGGGGACCAAAACTGTAATTAACCTTTTACTTTTATACAGAAGTAATGAGTTTTAATGGATTTTTTTATGCTTAGCATAATTTTAAAATTAAGCTTTAATTTCCAGATTCTTTAATATAATAAAAATTAAGTTTGGTTTACCCATACCATATCATACCAATGCATGTACACATGCTTCATGCATATTCAGCATTTCACAACTACTTGACCACATAATGCAATGAGCAAAGGGATCTAATGAACCACTGACAGAAAACCCCAGGCCGCATGATTTGACTATATTATAAAAATAAATAAAAACTACATCTATCCTACTCCACTAAACCTAACCCACTACACCACTACCATCTCACCTACTCCACTAAACCTAACCCACTACACCACTACCACCTCCACTTCACCTACTCCTTACCTACTACACACTCACCCTCTTCTATATATAGGAATCATGAATCATTGTAATAAATAGAACATTATATCAATCAATAATATACATCAATTTATTTTACAAAAAGTACATAAAAATATATATGAACCACGCATTGAATCATCCCAAATTTGTGTATACTGATAGGGACATGAACTCAGGAAAACCTGTGAAACAACAAATTGGTTGAAGCCTAAATTGAAGAATAGTTAATGAGAGAGTAGTTTTATTTAGGAATTTTAGTTATGATAGGAATTTGTATTTGTTGATCCTGTTCTTATTGGACAATGCCTATGACTATATCTGTGTATATGGGTAGTGTGTAGTGAAAAGATACAATAATTTTGACATTTATTTGTTATTGTTTATTATAATTAATTAACGATTTGTCTTGAAAAAATTAAGTAAACCCAAATTTTGACAAATGTCAAGGGGTGACAATGTCTATAATCAAATGTCAGGAGGTGCTTATGATTTATTATAAATATAGGAAGGGTATAAATCACATAGGAAGGGCAATATGGGGATATAATATATTAGACATCATTTTGGCAGAGATCAGCAAAAATAGTTATTGTTAGTAATGTCCGTAAGGTTTTAGGGTCTCGTTGATACACCTTCAAACTGTGGGGGTGTTTGTGATATTTTTTAATGTTTGGGGGCGTTTGTGTATTTTCATGAAAGATCAGGGGTGGGCAATTTTCACCAAACAATATATAGTTACATATATAGAAATAATATAAATTTATTCACTTTCAATTTACAAATACATTTATATTTTATTATATCAAAATAATAAGAAACCATTTTTTTACATTCAATTCAATATTTTAAAAAACTAGGCAAGTTACATTGACCTCCCTCAACCTTTAAGAAAAATATGATAAGTCCCATAATTACCTTAGCCTCCAAGCAGAGGTAACAAAATATAGACAAATTTATCTCCAATATGAAACGAAAAAATCACCTTATAGACTTTACTTAGAACCCTAACCTAGACACTTTACTATCCTAACATTAACCTAACAGCATGGATGTAAGTTTTATGAAAATACAAAACTTAGGGAGGTTAATCTAATTATGTCAAATTGTTTGGCTCGATGTATTTTTCTGAAATCTTGAGGGAGGCCAGTGTGATTATTCCTAAGGAATAAGTGAGAACAAAAAAAAGTCCCAAATATCTAATTTAGAAAGATTTACTACAAAATAAATTAGAAATTTCAAAATTTAGAAATCCTAAAACTAAAAAGTCCAGGGAGAAAGAATAGGTACACGTCCACATTATATTTATATTATCATTTGACCCTAGGTTTTTTTTTTTTTTTTTGATAAATGATCTCAAGTTAATTTCTTTGAACTTAAAATGTGTTTCATGTTTGTCTAGGTGATGATATGTGTCCCAAGGGTGTTAATCTTGTTAAGTTCTAAAACACTATAACAAACAATAGGGTAAATTACACTAACCACCCCTGATGTTTAGAAAAATACAATAAACCCCACAAGTTTGGTTTTAAAAAGGCTAAAAGGACTGGAACTATGTACATGGTGTGAACAAATAGGAATAACTATGGTAAAATATACATTTCAATGTAAAAGTCTAAAAGATACAACAACATGGTTTTCTATTCATACAATTAACCAATTATTGATAAAAATGGGGCTAAGTGTTAAGTGAATTAAAACCTAAAAGATGCCCAATGTAATTAGGCCAACCTTGTGGGCTCAATGTATTTTTCCTAAACCTCAGGGGATGTTAGTGTAATTTACCAAAAATAATAGACACATTAGGACACATGTCCGATACGGACACCTTCTTATAAATGTTTGTGCTTCTTAGGAAATAAAGAAAGGCCACTTCATCACTCGATAAATTAAGAGGAAAAGGGGAACAGAGAAAGAGATGGCAATACCTCGTCTCCTTTCAATCCAGACAAGACATGGAGCCCGTCGACTATGCCATTAGAAAAATCATAGAGCATGGCTGTTGCATCCTCAGCTTTTGACTCATCAGATGATACGTCATCAACAAATCTATGTAACTCTTGAATCTTGACGTCCTTCACAGCCTCTAAAGTCAAACTATCAAGAATATGATAACATTTCAGACGAGACAACTCCAAGGTAAGCTGCATTTTACAGTCTTCCTGGTTCCCAACACAAAAATGGCAATGACGATGATGATAAAACAAAATAACCTCACCTATTCAGAAAGAAAAACATAGTCCAATATAAAATATATATGCATGGATAACATATCAGACCTATGATTGAAATTGATCATTTACATTTCAAGTATTGATCATGAAGAAAGAAGAAAAAAAAAAACGAAAATGAAACAGAAAAAAGGAAATAATTTAGGACTAAAAAATAAGATTTAAATGAAGAAACTAGAGTGTGACTGAAAAAATTGCTTCAAATTGAAGCCTTCAATGACTAAATTGTGAATACTCTTGCAAATAAAAATGTGGGATGTGAATGAATGCTGATCATTCATGTACTTTTAACAAATGATCAGTGTTAAGAACACGACGCACATCATGTTGAAGCTGCAACCCATGTTAGCATAAATGATCAGATTAGACAAGCACCAGCAGCACATCAGATTAGGAGAGCAAACCATGATTTTACAGAACAAAACTTGAGCGATCAGTCAGCTGTTACATTTAGTCTGAAGAACTAAGTCGAGAAAAATGACTTTAAAAGAAAACGCCATGAAGTAGTGATGAATTTAGTCAAGAAGACAAAAACATCAAGCTCTTACCTTCAAAGGCACATGGTTCAATACCTCCCTCATTGCACTTATTATGTCAGACTGGCTAATATCATTCCACTATATCCATAAAAATTATTAATCGACTCAGCGTGATTCAGTAAACCATCATTGGTGAATGAGTTCACAGAACAGTGCAAAATAGTAGTAACCATAATATTTGGACCAACATTATGACACAAACTGAAGAAAGGAAATACCTTATAATCTTCTCCCTTTACAGCCGTTTGATTCCATATGAGAATGGAAGATGAGACCTGAAAACTGCCTCTGAGACTGCCCTTAACATCGTTGGAGGAAGGAGAGCGAACGTGGATTTGGAGAACCTGAAGAACAACGCTCCCTCTGAGGACGCATTTGGCGAGATAGTGGACGCCATTTGAGGCCGATCGAGACTTGGCAGACGAAGATTCTTCCTTTGAGACCGCCATTAACACACAGGTCTTCTTACCTTGGAAACTAGGTTTTAACAACCCCAACTCTAAAAACGAACACACTCATCTCTCTCTCTCTCTCTGATCTGATTCTTCATAAAAGAGTGTTGGACATCTCTGGTACTACTACAGCAACCTACCTGTTTCCTGTGCAACCAGAGGTCTTGCCCTCCACCTGTTCGACAAAATGCCACAGTGAACTCTGCTACTGAGAAGTCATAAGATGATTAAGGAGAAAGAGAGAGAGAGAGAGAGAGAGGGACAAAGAGAGAGACAGAGAGGGCAACAAGCTATCAATGAAGAAGGGCAAACTAGCTAAGAGCAAATTAGCGAAGAGTAAATCAAAATGTAAATCTGCAAAGTGCAAATCAACCAAGGTCTCCTTGCAGGAGTTTGATAATCAGGTGGATGCTCAAATATCAACCGATGAGATGCTTGCTGTACTCCCCCGTAGGTCTACACGCATCCGAGGAGCCCTCAAATTTCTCGTATCTGGAGATTTTGTGGGACCATGGCAAGGGCCCTTGAATGAAAACAAAAGGGGTTTAAGGGATGTGGAATCGGAGGATAGCTCAATCGAGTGTGATTGTGTTGATCTATGTTTATGTGGAAATCTTGGTACACCACGGTTGCATTTGAATGTGGAAATGCAAGCCTCAACTGAGCAATCATCAAAGCAACATCAAACAGCTAATGCATGGAACACACCAACTAGAGTGCTAACTGGTCTTGAGCAGTGGCCAAAATTAGCCATTGTTTCCCCACTGGCGGCGAATGAAATGATAATGTCAAATAAGCTTGGCTCACCCAGTGTTGATCAAAGGACAGAAGTAATTGGCACCAAGCAACAGAAAAGTGTTGAAAATGTGCGAGCTTGTAGAAATGAGGATTTGGTTGAACTACATATGGAAGACACACAATCTGGCAAGGGTGAATGTCTTGATGGTGATACAACTGCTATATCAGGTAAGCCTCTACAAGCTTGGAGCTCTTTACTTAAAGAAGAGATTAATAAGGTGTCAAAAATGAAGTATAAAATAGGTGCCCATAAGATTGAGAACTTAGTAAATGGCATGTACAATATCCCTATAGAGATCTCAAAAAAAGGTTTTTCTCATTGGGAAAATGCTTTGGTTGGATACTTCATTGATAAAAGATTCTCTTTCCATTATGTGAAAACTTGGGTAGAGAAACTTTGGGGAAATTTGCTTGAAGATGTTGTCTCCACTGATAATGGGTTTTTTATTTTTAAAGTGAAAAGTGAAAAGGCTATAGACAAAATTTTGGAAGATGGCCCCTATTACGTTGGGGCTAGATTGATTGTTGTTAAAAAATGGCAACCTTGACAAAAACTAACAAAGTGTGAATTTTCGAGTGTGCCGTTGTGGGTGAAGTTGTATAATGTTCCTTTGGAGCTTTGGACTGAAAAAGGTTTGGGTTACATTGCTAGCATTATGGGAACTCCTCTTTATTAGGATGAGCCTACGTTCAAGAGAAGCAGACTTACGTTTGCGAGAATATGTATTGAAGTGCCAGCAAATAAAAAGATCCCTGAGTCTTTCAAAATAAATCTTGGTTATGGTGACCCATATGAGATTCAAGTTGAGGTTCCATGGAAGCCTCAAAGGTGTGATGTTTGTAAGACTTTTGGTCATACCACTAATTTGTGCCCTCAGAAGCCAAAGACCTTGAATTGAACCCTTCATATTCCAAACAAGAGTGGAGAGTCAAGGAGACTAACATATAAGTTCCAACTAAGTGGGAAGTGGTGAAGAAAAAAGGGAAAGACAGCGGGCAAGGTTCAACGACAGTGATAAACAAAGAGGAAGAGACGCAGCGTTTCACCCCATCAACATCTAATGCTTTTGATGTCCTTGAATCACGTGATATGGGAGAGTTGGGGAATGGAGAATTAAATCAAGAGTTGTTGTGTCAAATGAAGAGCCTAAAAAGTAGAGGGAGTCCATCTCCAAGTGATCCCATTAATGGAGAGACTACAAAGGAGGATAATAGAAGAAAACTCAAAGCGAAATTTCATTACTGTAAGAGTGCTAGAGGGAAATTTTGAATCCTTTGTTGTGTATGTTGTGTTTGTCGTCTTTAGGCTTAGTTTGTTTCTTTTGAGGGAGTAGTTTGTTTTTATGTTTATTCTCCCTTCAAAAGATGTGTATTGAACTTCATTGTATATCTTTCTTTTTTGGTTATAATATGACTTATCCAAAAAAAAAAGGAAATACCTTATCAGGGTCAAAAGAAAAGGCCCACGGATAAACCTACAACAAAAGGTATGAAGACAAAATTAAACTTCCTCATAACAAAACTCAATCTAAAAATACATAAATAAGGAAAGAAAGAAAAAATAAATAAAGTTATACAGGCAATCATATGGACACTAGCCAATGGTAAGAGTAGCAATAAAGTCATTACAACAATGACAATGCTGCCAAAACATCTCTGTCTACAAAGGGTGAAAATAATTCCCAACTGACCCAAATTTTTTAGGGCATTAGAACACGTTTATTTATTTTTATGAGTAAGAATAACTTTATTAGAAAAGGAGCATCAAGACGATGCTACAAATACAACCCACACCACGAGCTAGAACACACATGCGATCGGGAAAACACACATTGTTATCATGCATGAGCTAGAAGACAAACAATTCTGAAATTTATGACATATAAAAGGCTCTCAAATGATATGACTATGTAGAGTCACACCACGCTCAAATTGTGCAAACGACAAATTTTATTTGTTTGAAAAACGAATGATAGAACTTGGGAGGTAAGCATTACCTCTTCTAGTTGTCCATTCAACGACATTGTTGAGCTCCCCTTTATGGGATACTTCATAAATTCCTCAAATGGATTGTGACAATCAAGTAGAAATTATTGATCAAGGAGTTTGCAAGTACGAGGAAAGTGATATTGTTCTGATAGAAAATTCAAAAGTCTAAGAAGCCATTAAAGGGCAAAAAAATTACGTGTGACAGCATTTTATCAAAAGATCTTCACGAACATGAAAATGCATTACAATTGTTTGATTCTATTGACCAATGTTCTTAAACACAGAAATGGCCAAACTAGAATTAGGATCTAGTCAAGGATCACTGATTCAACTAAAATCAAGCCATGAAGTCATAATAATAATTTTCTCATACAAATATGAAAAATTATACTTAACTAAAATATAAAGGTATTAAGATAGATTCATATAAATTAATTTTTACAATTTAAGATACATGTATATTTACATGAATATGTTTATTGAATATAATTGCCTATACATTTATATTGATTATTGATTATTTATAAAAATAAGAAGTTAAAAAATTATAATAAAAAATCAATTGTACATGGTGTTTGAAAGAAAATGCAATAAATAATATTAGTTTTCCTAATATCAACAAAGGGACATTGTGGTATAGTGGTTAAAAGTGAGACCACTATCCATGGGGTTGTGTGTTTGAGCCACCCTAAATGTTGACTTTTACGAAGTTTCGCTTGGCAGCTGGTAGGGCCATGTGTTAGGATCATTGGATTGCCTCAGCCGGTTTTCTTGACCCAGCTACCAGTTCGAACAGGCAGCCAATTCAACCGTAGTTCTTACCAGTTGTCAATGGGTTGATTGTTTATCCAGACAAAAACCTAAATCCATCAGCGGGTGAATTGGTTGAATCAACCGATCTAGTCTCATTTTAATAAAACCACTGCTACTGACGCGGCTCCAACTAAAAGGATTGATTTTATTGTATCTAAAATTGCCTTCGTGTATTAAATCCAGGTTTGGTGGACCTCGTAAACAACAACACAGCCACAGTTTTCAATAAAATTTTCTGAAAACAGCCCGCTTTTTAGTAAACACCAAAAAAATATTTTGGAATTTTCGTACACTGTTTGTATACAGCAATGAAAACAAAGGAAGTTTTTTAATTTTTAATTGTTCAGAATACTCCATGAATGATAAAGGTGTCCAGGGGAAAGACACGGCATTCGACAACAGCTTTCCATTCTCAAAGCTAAGTTTGTAAGAGCCTTTTTAAAAGCATGAGTTACAGGAGCTTTAATGAAAACCTTGAACATAATCCAACATCAAGTCCTAGCTTGTGTTACATGAACTCTTCCACTTGGCCGAAATATATCGATGCCCACTGGATATGACTCAAGCACATAGAGGCAAAGCCTTATATCTCAAATTCAAGAATACAGTAAAAATTGTCTTTGGGAATATAAACATATTTCAAAAGACGAGAGAAAAACTTATCTGCTTAACAATATTCATGACCATTATAAATAGAAGAAAAACTGAGAAAATAAATTTACCCAAAAGCCACTTTTGGCTGGCCCATGAATTGGAAAAATTGAATGCAGGTGGCATCCCCTATTAATCCCTTTTCTTAATGACTTCACATATTGAGAAGATAAATTATAGAGATTCTAAACTGTGTGGACAGCAGCGATTCCAAATCCATCTCCAACAACATATTCTTTTTCTTTTTTATCAGCAACAAAATGAACTTTCCAAACCAGAAATCCGTGAAGGAAAACACTGATTTCCAATCACTAGAGATGATCAAGAAAAGCGGAATCCCTTTAAACAGGGGAACCACTGAAGCTGAAAAAGATGCCAAATCTAACCATTTCCCACAAAGAGGTTACATTAACACTTTTATCTTCAAAGATTCTCACATTTCTTTCCAGCTAGATAACCCAAAAAATTGCCAATACAGCGCGCAAGCCCCAACACCTTTGCCTTTTTATTGGTGTCCAAAACTCAAAAATCAATTAAGAGCATGGATTTGCTTGCTTCGGGAGCCACCCATGCTACGTCACACAAAGAAAAGAACTGCTGCTACATCCACCTTGCCACTGGACAGTGTAAAAATAGATGATTCAAAGTATCCCCATTGCCCTTACACATGATACACCATTGAGCACAAAGTTAGTGATTAAGGCTCCTTATTGAAAAACATCATTCGTCAAAATGGTTACATGAACCAAAGACCACATAAAAGACTTAACTTTGAGAGGTGCAAAAAACTTCCAGATTCTTTAGTGAAAAGGAAAGAATGAAACAGTTGGGTTCATCTTACCAAAAAAGATTTGCAAGAAAAGACACTTGAAGAATGAAAGAGTCACACCTGTTTATCACTCGCGTTATGGTCCAAAGACAAATGGTCAATAACAAACAACAAAGAAGCTAAATCGCCAACCTCCCTTTCAGTAAGATTTCTTGAGAAACTATAGTTCCAAGCAATC